AACTCCTATCTATAACCCGTTTCCTTGTATAAGTGTAGCATAACACAGAACATGAAAAAAATGGAATGCATTTAAATTCAACATATTTATTATATTACTATCATTCATAAGCAAATGTTGTCATAATTTTAGTTAATGAAACTACATAGAACATGCCTACCATGAAAATATATGTACGTAGAACAAAACTATAAACAACAGGGAGGTAATAAAACGACTTAACATCACCACTTCAATGTACTTTAAAAAATCCTCACCAAAAAGTGCTACCTCTGTTCAAACTGTAATTTTGCATAAAAATATCTTAACATATTTTGCACTTTTTAATTGATGGGTTGGCTTAGGTTAGGCAGAAATACCTATGTAAATAATTTTTTTTCTAGTTGACAAATTCATAACACGTGCGTTTAGAATGATTTTTTGTTAACATTTCAAGTTGTAACAGATAAAAACTGAGTAAGAATAGCTTTCTATGAACCTACAAAAATTATATTTACCTTGTTCGGACGATGTCATATGCCAGGGAAGTATTCCAAATAGAACTCACGACCTGATGTTTTGTTTGTCTATTCAAGAGCAATATCAACAATTCAGAACTTCGGATTATCGTTCTTTATCTCCCCCTAGCGGCCAGCAGAAATGCTATACTACTGTAACGTGTCGGACCTGAGCGGTCAGTAGGTCCGTGCTCGGATTACCGAGTTTTACTGGGGATATGATTGAATGCAATATTTACAGATAATAATATGAAACCTGCCTGGTGTCTTTAAATCAAATGACCTAAGTGCTTTGAACACTTATATATCTTCAGTTAATACCGACACCTGCCTGGTGCCATATGACAATTGCCTCACCATACAACTGACTATATAAGTCAACAGCCACCTGCCTGGTGCCTCTTGATTTAGCCTTTAACACCTGCCTGGTGTCTTACTGCTTTCCAAGTTGCCTATATAACTCTAGCCAAGTAGCTACAATATACTTACACAGTATTTAACTTTGTGAGAGCTTCTCTGTCCTAATGACAAACCTATAGCTAACGTCACACAGCTATATTTTAAGTTGTCACTGACTACGGCGACTTTGCACAACTCGATTTGATCGATACACTAATTGGTTTCTGTACCAAAGTGAAGACACAAACCAATTGGCTGTACTGCCCCCTTGTACCTCAACTTAATCAATGATCACAAGTTATCAGATATCATATTGATAAAATACTACAGACTGCCTTTCTTTTGGCAACACTATTATTATTTTCTAACAGAACATCATTTATCAATATTACTTGTATAATTCTTTTGTCAATTGACCAATTAATTACAATATTTACATTGATTATCTATTATAATATAAACAAGTAACGGGAGGTAACTCCTCCAACCATTTCACTACTACGTGAGAGTCGAAGTATTTTTTTACATTTCATGTATCCTTATGTCAGAATCGTTTAATCAAATGCTCAGCTGCCTCCATAAACCCCTGCTCGCGAAATGGCGGAGTTGACAGAGAGAGCCGCCATCTTGGTCCCGCTTCAGATTTTCAAATGTTAATATCTAGAGTTCAGACAAATCAATATCCAAACAACTTATATAGTAAGCATCAATAGAAGGGTCTTTATTAGCATTCCAAAAATAAACAAAAAATATTCAAAAACAAAAAAGTTAGAAAATACGATTTTTTTAATTCGTTTCTCCTAACGACAGGAAGTACCAACGACGAACGAAAGGTCGCGTCCTGGATAGTATATATCACAATCTATAATCCCTAAAAGTTTCATGTTGATATCTTTTACCGTTTTTGAGTTTAATCGTGGACAAAATGTCATTTTAATTTCAGGAAATGTCCTGTGACTTGGCACCAGATAGGAATTTTCAAAAAATCGCTCAGATAGATCAAGTTCATGTTACGACACATCTTTTCTGAAAATTTCATGTAATTCCATCCAGTAGTCTTCGAGAAATCGCGTGCACAAAATTAGAAAGTCAAAAAAATAATAAGAATAATAATAACTAGATCTTTTTGTCATTCAACAAAAACGGAGGGCTTTTCGATCCCTTAAAATAAAGAATCTTAAAAAGAAAATCAATTTTACACATTGAAAAAAATGGTATAGTACAATATGGCAAAAGTTGTTTTGAGATCAATACTTAATTGGAAACATAACATTTCTCCTTGTACATCAGTGTCTACTCAAAGAGACAGAACTCTTTCGTGGTTATTAAACACATTCGAAAATGTGCTGTTTTTCAATCCTCTAAAATTCCTATAAGGGGATAAAAAGTGACCCCACGGCCCATAAGTTTTGAAATGTACTCTTTATGCTTGATATAATACGAAAATAAGTTTGAAGATTGGTTGAGAATTAAAAAAGTTACAGAGAAAAAGCTGTTTTCTGCAATGACCCCTAAAATCCCTTTTATTTTTAGGGATTTTTATTTTCATACCTATCCACCTGGAGACAATGCTGGAGTCAATATTCATATGAAATTTCACGAGAATTGCTTGCCTACCTTTTGAGATAATGGAACAAACGTGATTTCAAATTTAACATAGAAATCTCCCTAGGCAATTTTAGGAAACTCATAAAACCGGAAGTACTCTTCAGATGCATACCAACATTGAAACATAGACAGCATATAAGGTTCCAAACAGATGGGGAAAGGGAGATAACTCTTGCAGAAATATTTTCTAAAAAACATAAAAATGCAATATTTCAGGCCTCTAAAACTCCTATAAGGCGTAACAAAGTGACCCCACGGCATATATTTTTTAGACTGTCCTTTGAATGCTTAAATCAAATCTGAAAACTATTTGAAAATTCTTTGAGAAATAAAAAAGTTACAGGCAAAGGTCTGTTTTTAATGTTGGCCCCTAGAAATCCCTTATTTTCCATACTTTTAATTTTCTAATCTAATAATGTCACAAGAGTATCAGAGTCAATATATATACCAAATATTACAAGAAAATCTTAATTACTTTAAGAGAAAATGTGCCATGATTAATTTAAATTTAATATAAAACTTTCAAGACCCATAAAACCGGAAGTTCTGTTCTGATTGATATGAAACTTATATCACATGTTCTACTGATTGGTTTTAACATATTTCTATGCTCAAATTAATTTTTGTAACGTAAATGTGACTTTCAAAAATTTCATCCCCCCTTCTTCAATGTTTGAAGTCTTATATCTCGAAAAGAATCTGTGGTCAAAAGTTACGTACGCGCACTTTTTTATTGGACTAGGTCTCCAGAATTCATATCTTAAATTTGGGAGTCGACATATTAAAATTAAAATTGTTTTCAGCTTCTTTAGAAATTTCAGTTTTCCTTTAGTAGAAACCGGAAGTGACTTTACCGGAAGTTGTTCTTGTTTCACGCACGTGAGATTTAAATTTGCTATTTAGTGGTTATAAAATAAAATACCTATTATTAAAGGTATTCCCCAAAAGCTGAACGATAGAGGTGTTCAGTATAATAATAATAATAATAAACAAGACGAAAACAATAGGTCTTTTCGACAAAAGTCGAAAAGCCCTAATAATAATAAGAAACAGTAGAATCACTATAAGGTCTTCCGTGAAGACGGAAGACCTTAATAATAAGAAACAGAGTAAAAACAATATGTTCCCCAACTTCGTTTGGGGAACATAATAAATAAGCCTTATAACATTGTTAACAATGTCCTTGACCTTTTAACCTTGGAAAAAAAAACGTATTTATACACTTGTACAAGAACAATTCTGGGAGATAAAAAAAATGTACATGTAATCTAGTTCTTATGTTAGCTAAAAAAGTATGGTATTTTTTCCACATATGTACAGAAAATTGCAAAAATCATGAAAATGAAATCAATTTAATATAAATATTTATTATGATATCCCCCCTCCTCAACTAATTTTTCTCTATGAAATAAATACCTAGATTAAAAAAACAAATGTGTTTTCCCTATTTTTATTTTCAAAAAAACTAATAATAGAAATGATTTAGTCCTTAAGGTTTTGTTCTTTTTTTTTAATTAACTCCCTCTCTGTTACGGTTATTTTATAAACCTTTAATTAAGAACCAGGAAGATTTTTTTTTCCTTTTGGAAACACAACCTTAGTATACAGTCATGTAGTTATACAACAAGAAACATCTGTTATGTCCATGGTTTCGCACTGTTAGGCGCACAGAAATTTTTTTTTTTTTCATCAGAGAAAACTTCAGAATTTTCTGAATTGCAGGGAATTTTTTTTTATGCAAACGAATGTACCGATCTATAGCTGTACATGTAACCGCGGTCTAGTTTATCGATTAACATGATTATAGATGCACAGTTCCGCGTGTTTCTTTACTATGTTTACTGAAAAACGACTAGAAATAATGAAAATCTGTTAATAAATTACATACTAGTAGTTTAAAGAAATAGAAAATATTACCTCGTTTTCTTTACACATCGAAAGATGTGCTATTTTTAGAACTTGGAAAAACCCAAGTATGTATTTTACTTTAAAAAGAATGTTTATGCGGCAATTTGTCTAACAAAACTACCATATCATGGTTTTATATCAATTTAACATTTGTTCTTTCCTCTGTTAAGTTTTTTTTCATCTGCTCTGATGACATGTATAATGCCACCGTCTATCAAGCCGTGTCGACAAAAAGCCATTCTTGTTTACGACGGTCGATAACTCTGAAGACGTAAACAGTGTTACGACATCGGCAATCATCGGCAAATGCCGTCATTTTTACCGGAAGTGCCCTGTTATACATCTAAATCCTTAACTTCACAATGGAGAATCATGGGAGCATATACTGAGTACAAAGATTGCTTATGATCCAAGATTGTATCTTGAACTTGATCCAAGGTCATTCTGATAAGTTCAAGGTCACTGGCAGAAAAAGTATAAAATTCTTAATTAGGTTATGATTTTTTGCCTACCCTACAATACATATCCTGTTGCAGGACTCTTGCTTTTTGATTGGTATTTAATTCTAGTTTATATGATTTGTTTCAGTAATGTGAGTGAGAAATTGCCAGGAAGGCCAACAAACAACAGAGCAGAGATACATGTGAGTTTATACGTTGTTGATTTTGTGTGTGTGTGTAAATACAAGGGATTTGACTAAATCTGATAGTGATCTAACTTATTAAGAAGCAACAGTACTTTTCATGAGAATAATTTATATATTTTTATTTCTGTTGCAGGCAGCAAGAGTTGCTGTGAAACAAGCTAAAGAAAGAAACATGAAAAGTGTTACTGTTGTGACAGATAGCCAGTTTCTCATCAATGGTAATTTTTTTGTAATATTCATTAGAAATAAATAAATAATTTTGAAGTACTTAATCTTTAGCATAAACATATTCATGTCAAAATGTTAAAAATGTTTTATTTCCTTTTATGTCTTAGATTGATGTTTTCAAAAGTTTGAATTAATAGTTGTGCATTCAAGGACCTGTACATGTTAAATTAGACAAAAAAGTGACTTATGTTATGAGGAGGTAGAGAAACAGATGGTTTATTTAGCTCGTATGCTTCAGGAACAAGAACTTCTTCCTTTTTAGCTAGCATGTAAGCACCACTTAAGGTCAATTAATGATTCTAACTTCCAAAAATTCAGTCTCACAAATTGATCTTTATTTGTAGGGATGACATCTTGGATTCACAGTTGGAAGATGAATGGATGGACATTGTCAGACAAATCTAAAGTAAAGAATGTTGAGGATTGGAAAGCATTGGATGCTGAGATGAAAGACATCAATGTCAAATTTGTAAGTTATACATTTTCTCTTTATTTGATGAATGGTAGAATAACCATCTTTTAAGTTTACGTATGTGCAACAATTTGATTGACCTATGTTGTTCAGGATAATTAAGTTTACAATTAACATCACTCGATTTTATTAGATAAAGCCATGTGCTTAGGTTTATTTGATTCTTACCTGAATGCCAAAGCTTAACACAAATACTTTCACACACATTTTAACAGAAGCATGTACGAGGCCATACAGGGGTCGGTGGAAATGAGGAGGCAGATAGGTTGGCCAATGAAGGAGCCACGAAAACTGCATCAAAGACTGGAAAATCCTGGTTCTAATGATGCTGAAGTGATGTGATTTATTGGTACAGGTTGACCAAGCACTCGCTATTCTGTCCATTTGTGCCAAGTGCAGAATCTGATGTGTAATTTCAGAACTCTGTTTGAGTCAGTATATGTTACATCATCATTCATGGTGCTGTTTATGTTAATGGAATGTTTGTTTTAATTCATCTATAGATTAGGACTTAGCTTAGTTACGATATACACATTATAGATCTTACATTACTTTAAAGATGTACATTATTTTGATTACTTTACTTTAAAGATGTACATTATTTTGATTTTTTGTTTGTTTAATAAACTGTTCTGTGATGAACAAGTTTGTTTTGGTTAGGAAAGTTAGTTTGCGGGTGGGCAGATAGCCTAGGTGTTAGAGTTCGTCTTGAATTAGGTGGCCTGTCGCCATGATTCAAATTCCTGTCTAGTCTGGTAAATTTCCTCCCTCCCTTTTCAATTTGGTGCCTTGCTTTGCCTTATAAAGTGTAAGGAATTGCAAGAGAAGAGTAGATAGTTGATAATTTTCGGGGAGGGGGGAATGTTGTGGTGTAGCAGATTTTTTGCCAAAGATGATTTTATTTTCAGGATTTGGGGAGATGGTGGTCAGTCATTTCCTATAACCATATACTTATTCAATGTTATTCCTGCAATTGATGACAGGTATAGAAAACCATGTGAACACTTTTGTAGTTTTATGGAAATAATGTAAAAAATTATTTAAAGATGATAAATAATGGTGATATACATGTATTATGCCTAAATCACACAGTTAACTGGACTGTTTAAAACTATTTTACTGTGAGCACTAATATTCCGATATCCCTTTACAGTGCTTACTCAAAATATGAATACTGTCTAAATATTTTTTTAACATTCATCATAACTTTACATGAAATGCAATTGTTTCTTTGCTATGATTTCTGAACAATGTATGCTGCAGCAGATAAGAGTTCAGAATGCTTTGGCTCTTCTGTTGCTGTACAGCCATCAACGAGGCCTCTAATGAGCGCCTTGTATTGGTTCTGCTTGAAAACTGGCCATTGGTTTAATCTTATGTTCAAATTATCATGAGCTTCTAATGTAGCTTCTAGGTAGTGTAGAGGAAGTTCACTTCCAGTTGCCTAAAAAGAAATATTCAAACCATTTATAACCAAGAATAGGATTAATTTAAGAGAAGTTGGATTTCAATTGATTGATTTAAAATAGCTGTGTAATTGATTGATTTTAAGTAGCTGTGTGTTAATAAGTGTTAAGAGATGGTTGCAATTGGATTTTAGGCATAGGACATTACCAAGCCTAATCACATCCTCTCTGAGCTATTTATAGTTTCTGTCAGATATCACAGACTTTATAAACTAACCATTTGAAGTATTTCTGGAGCGAGTTTTAAACCACCTTCTGACTTCAACATAAACGTAATCAGAAATTGTCCGAGTAGAGTTTTCGTGGAAATGTCAGACACATCCATAACTGCACATTTTATATCTCTTATCCCTAGAGATATTTTCTGCAATAGAGCTCGTAGACAGGTGATAACAGGTAAAACCGCTTCCTGAAATTGACCGATTATCATTCATTACAGTTATACTTTAATTAATAACATTGAACATGAACAAAAAAGTCGATTAAGTACTGAAACATACTGTATACGAAATGGCAACGAAAACGAATGCTAAAAAATCTTCTGTACCTTTAAACGCTTTGCGTCTTCTAGATTCTGAACCTTGTAGATTGTCAAAACATCTAAACAGTCTAAAACGATCTGTAGTGAAAGAAATGCAAACATCACAGCAAACCATTAAAGAGAAATGTAGAAAGTTCCTTAAATATGGTAGAAAAATAATTTTACCGTTTTGTCACACATGAAACTAAACTCAATGACTTTATAGTAGACGTCTAGATGGTGAATCAACGCAAGTAACATCCTCTGTTTCTGATGTGTAGTCCCACGTTTCACAAGTTTCTGGCACTCCAGTGCAATGGCTTTGACACAAGCTCCTTTTCTTTTGTCGTCCAATTCTAAGAAGTATTTTCCTAATGTTTTCATCAACTAATAAATGTGTTTTCTTATTTTCATAGCAAATATTTTAATTCATGATTAAGGTTTACAATTATCTGTCGAAGACCATATATACCTCCTGAGAACTCTTCCAGTTTCTTAACAAGTGCGTGAACACATTCATCATATAACTCATATGACCTTGAACGTTTCCATATCTGAAATTTATCAAATAAGCTAAACCCTTTTAAGAATAAATATATAGAGAGAATTTAAAAGAATATAAAAAGTTTTATTTGAAGTAAACTCACCTCCTCAGATACACAGTTACTTTGAGAACATATACAGAAAATATTGACGAACTTTCTAATAGTGTCGCTTTCATAAGCCCTAAATATTAGGCAGTTCAAGATTTCCATAACCACGTATGCAACCGAGATGTTTCTTGCACAAATTTTGATCTACAAATCGCAAAACTTCAAAATCACAAATAATCATTATTTTTTCACAACTGGATGCATCCATCGATCGATCGATCGATATATAGTTTTGCACAAGAGAAAATTTAATTTAAAAGCAAATTACAGATTTTTTTACTATCAGTAATAGGAGAATTACCAAAGGGACGTTCCGTATTTTATGTTTGAAAGATGAAGGTAGAACCATTTGACTGCAGTCACTAACTAACTGTAATAAATCTCTTTCTAGGAACTCTCTTCTCTCCAAATAAATCAACTCTGTTATAAAACCGATAGAGTCCAGGTCTGACAAAAAATAAATTAGTCTTTGGTTGATTACATTGTATGTTGTAAATGTAATTATATTTAAGAATTCATATGGAGACGTGTATAGACAGTAAGCCTTTGCATGGCGCTTACAATCTTACGAGCACCATTGAATACTTTTTTTTTAATATCGTGCAAAGAAACGCCTTCAGGTCTAATGTCCGAATGCTTGGCAATGGAACAAATCATTACCTATGTTGAGTCAGAGACTCAAAGCTGACCACGATTCGTAAAAGGAATTTTTCCGTCATTCTTTTTTTTCTTCTTTTTTATATATTTGTAGGTGTAACGAATGCAAATGGTGTACCCCATTGACGATATCGTAGATAGTGACATCTTATATGGCGTTATAAAGTCGTGTTAAGGTCAAGATCTAGTAAATGAAAGGTGCCTACAGATTTATCAAATTTGAGAAATGAATTCCTTTATTGATGCTTTACAACTTTAGCTTGGTCAGAAAGGGTGTTTCGGGGCATAATTTGTAGGTGAACAAGATGAAATACTGTATTTTAAACTGTCATTTTCAATGAAAAATTAAGAAAACCAGTCATGAATACGGGAGTTTTTTTCGTATTCGGCAAAGGAAATGTATCCAGATTGCCTACAGTCTCTCAGAAAACGGTAATTAGTATGTTCATGGCCTCTTCTTTAAATCAATTTCAAATTTAATAAAGGTATCCGGTTTACTTTACATATGATTTCAAATTGAATGACATGAAAATACCCTATTTTCTATATAATTCTGCTAAAGCCGTAAAGTACGGGAAAAGGAAAGTTGAAATTGATTATGACGTCATAATGGATCTAGCACCAAAAATTAGTCCAAAGTAATTTAGTAGATCTTGACCTTAAGCGCCGCAAACGACATTCAAACTTAAACCTCCCGATCATTAAAAGAGTGCCCTACCACTAAGCTCCCAATACCGATTGTATCTTATTGGAATATGCATTCTGAATACTTGGATAATTCGACGAGAGTTGTGTTTTACGAAGCAACGTCTTTGTAAATATTACATTGATTTGATGAAAAAAAAACTTTCATCTTTACAATATTATTTCAGAAAAAAATAGTAATTATTACCTTTCCCTTCAGAAAATTTGCCAAGTTTTTCAAATATTCTTTCAAACAAACGTTTCTGCAATGGTTTTGGGAAATTCTTGATGGATGTAATGATCGATTCCCATACAGGTGTCTCTGCTGGATGACACATATCTATCAGAGTTAGACAGAGATCTGAGTAACCGTGAAAATCATCCTCTCTAATGATATTTAAACTGTCCATTTGACTCGACACTTTTGTTTGACAAACCGTTCTTGAAATCTGCTAAGGAAAATACAAATATTGATAATCTTCAAGTGATTGTGAATACTTTTCTCTATGCAAACACTATACATTATATTTTGAACGCTATTTGATTTGAATTTGTATCCTTTCTTGAAATCTTACACTCACCTGTTTGAAAAAGATCGGAATTACTTTTTGCCTCTTTACACCAAAATTACAAACCGAGAAGGAATTCAAGTCCGTTGGTGAAATCAGTTTCTTTATCATTTTCTGTTTAAAAATAAATAAAACATATGAAGCTCAAAATACATGATCATTCATAACAGTACACGTTTCAGACGAAAAGAGCAGGGACGTAGCATCGTTTTTGAAAAGGGGCAGCCAAATAGCGAGAAAAGGGCAATCAGAGATTACAGAGCTCATCTCAACGAATGATCATCTTTTAATAAGGCAAAGTCCCACATTAAAGTAATAATCTAGAAGTGTACATCCCAAGATGCAACATTAAGGCTATTTTGATCCAGCATCCTAAGCAAGTCCATAAGTGTGTATCGTCCATGCAAGTTTGGTCAACATAAGGCTTATCAATACTTTAGATAATCTGCCCACAAACACTTTTTTCTGTAAACTCGTCAGGTCAGATCCAGCATACGAAGCAAGCCTGGAAGTGTGCATCCTTATATAGATGTATCATTCATGCAAGTGGTCAACATAAGAGCTTATATAGTTACTTAGAAATGAGACCTGCTCCGAAAACTTTACACTGATCACTCATCCAGAAAACAGGTCAGATCCAGCATCCGAAGGAAGCCTGGTAGTGTGCTGCATCCTAAGATGTATCACCCATGCAGGTTTGGTCAACAAAGGACTTATAGGTACAGTGAACTTAAAAGATCTGCACCAAAAACTTTAACCTGCTCACTCATCCGGAAAAGGTGAGTCAGATCCAGCATGCGAAGCATGAATGGTACTGTGCATCGTTAAATGTATCTTTCTTGCAAGTTTGGTCAATATAAGGCTCATAGTTATACTTGGAAATGAGACCTGCACCAAAAACTTTAACCTGTTCACTCATCCAGAAACACTAACCTCATACCTGGTCATTCCTTTGCTGAAATCGCAGCATTTGAAACGTAGACTGGCACAATGGAACACACTAGAAACATCTTCCTTACATCTCTGATTAATTTTGGACACATAAAGAGAAAACTGTACCAAAATCATTGAACATGGACGCCGAGGGTATCACATATAATAAGTTCCCACAACTTCGTTGCAGTGAGCTAAACACTTAGCTTACCTTAAAATACTTTACAAGCCAAAAAAAGGGGTGTGTGCCAAACTCGAAAATCATATTTTCAGGGGAAGGGGTTAGGTTCCAATTTCTTTCGGTACTAAATTGCAAACAAGAGGCCCATGGGCCACATCACTCACCTGAGCAATGTAGCTAGGAAAAAAGCATAAATCACTTTATTTTTGAAAAGTTAAAAATGGTCCCAACCAATCCTTAAAAGGGAGAGGGTATGACTTGAAAAAACTTGAATCTACACTAACTAAGAATGCTTGCATATTTCTTTATCTACCTGCGGCTTTATTGTCCTAAACATTTGAACTTACATTGTGGCCCCACCCTACCCCCAGGGGCCATGACTTGAACACAATTGAATCTACACTATGAATAGGACTAATCATAACTTTGCTATTGTGGCCCCGCCCTACCCCCAGGGGTCATGATTTGAATAAACTTGAATGTCCACTATCTGAGGATGCTTCCATAAAAATATGATCATTCATGCCTTTGCTATTCCAGAGAAGAAGATTTTTAAGGAATTTTCCTATATATTTCTATGTGAAACTTTGATCGGCCATTGTGGCTCCGCCCTACCCTAGGGGTCATAATTTGAACAAACTTGAATCTACACTACCTGAACATGCTTCCATAAAAATATTATCATTCATGCCTATGCTATTCCAGAGAAGAAGATTTTTAAAGAATTTTCCTATATATTTCAATGTAAAACTTTGATGGGCAAATGTGGCCCCGCCCTACCCCCGGGGGTCATGATTTGAAGAAACCTGAATCTACACTACCTGAGGATGCTTCCCTATAAGTTCCATATATTCTGGCACAGTGGTTCTTGAGAAGAATATTTTTAAAGAATTTTTTTATTTATTTCTATGTAAACATTTGATCAGCCAGTGTGGCCCTGCCCTACCCCCGGGGGTCATGATTTGTACAAACTTGAATCTACACTACCTGAGTATGCTTCCCTATAAGTTTCTATAAGTTTCATCTTTCCTGGCACAGTGGTTCTTGAGAGGAATATTTTAAAAGAATTTTCCTATATATTTCTATGTAAAACTTTGATCGGCCAGTGTGGCCCCGCCCTACCCCCGGGGCTCATGATTTGAACAAACTTGAATCTACATAACCTGAGTATGCTTCCCTATAAGTTTCATCTTTCCTTGCACTGTGGTTCTTGAGAAGAATATTTTTAAAGAATTTTCCTATATATATATTTTTTTATTTTGCTTGAGAATTTTCCTTTTCTGCATAATTAAGTTGTACATATTGCATCTCTCTTATGATATGAGTGCAGAACTGTAGCTTTAAAAAAAACTACGTAGAAACTTGAACGACCTGCTCGTCACTCTTCGGGAATCTGGTGTTAGGATTCAGTTTGCTTTTAAAGTTTGTACTAAGTGCATCGACCGTTGCTATGTAGGCCTAACGTTGGATTTGTACATGTAGGGTGAGTTCACCATGCATCGGACACATACCTTGCTTCGGACAACTCTAGGCAATAAACTCTCTTTCAACTTATGAGTTCTGTGTATTTATTTGTTTCTGTCATAAAGACCAAGATTCAAATTTTTTAATGATACCGATTGTGTTTATCATGTTGTGATAAAAATACCCCGTAAATGGCCTTGAAGTTACGTCATATTTTACATCATCAAAGGGGAATAACCCGAAATTTATGATTTTGCAATTTTTAGAGTTATCGTTCTTTTAAATTCGACTTCCACGGAACGAGTCGGACTTTGGTGAATTTTGTCAGGGATTGGCAATTTTACATAAATTAGAATTAAATTTCACTTCAATGTTTGTCTAATTCTTATTAGAGCTGGTTTTAACTAGTATGCTATTTTCACCGTACATCGGACACAAATTAACCCATGCATCGGACACTTTTCGATGCAAAGGTAAGTACTACCATTTTCATACAGAACCCAGCTGACAGCTGTTTTTTGCGGAAAAAGAAAATGAAAACTCTATATTTTCAGTCAAAATACAAGTTATCGATATATGACGTCTGGAATTTTACTCTGTTTATTTCTACAAACCCGAGTATGATGAACCATGAGAAAAAGGCGCGAATTACGGCATGATAAGCATTTTATTAAAGCATTTCTAAGGCAGAGTGAGGTCTCTAGAATCGTTCTTCATTTGTGCAATAATATCGTCGATTAAATTACAGTTGAGGGTTATTTCTTAGATAAAAGATGAAAATATATCCATATCAAGGATTTTAAAGCATTGTGATAAAGGTATGATATTTTTCCGGTCTCCATACCGTCTGTCCGATGCATGGTGAACCATGTCCGATCCATGGTGAATTTTCTGTTTTTTCTAAAAACTCGATTTTTGGGGATATTTTCTCAATAAACGGCATATAATTGTGTCCTAAATTGTTATTTTAATCACAAACTAAATGTTAAACTCCATTTTGATAATTTTCCGTCGGTAGCGATATCGCTAGAACTTGTTGAAGTACAAGGGTATCCGATGCATGGTGAATTCACCCTATTGCAATCTTCATATCTACGTGTAATAATACTTGCCATGGACCAATCTTTTTTCTCCTTCTCTTTATCTGGTGTCCACTTAAATGATTTAAAGCATTTTATAAGAAATTGTGTGAGACAAGACTTCAAATCTTCTGATAGACACACATACTCCGGATTCTCCACCAAAGCCTCGCATAGCATAAACACGTTTGGGATATCTAACAGCAATTTCGCAGGGGCCTAAGGGAAAAAAACAACAAAATATTACCTTAGTCGTAAATTATACAATGATTCTGTAGTATGCGTACATGTTCTACATGGAATAAATAGTACACTAGTGTACTATATGAAATTATGAATCGAACAGTTCCATAAATCACGCTCACAGTACAAATATTATAAACTCATAAACTATAAAGAAACATACCTTACATGCACATATTGTTTCACTTATTTCTTTGATTACAGATATACTGTTTGGTACAAAGTCAAGGGAAATCAAATGTATTGCTTTCAGGCACGAATTTATTTTTTCAGCCACGGTAAATAGATCCAGGCCTAAACCTGTCATTGTTTATTTTTTCCCGCCAACTACAGATATTAATTAGTTCGGTGAAAGGTATGTCGCGTCTGCGAAAGCTTTTGACTTTATTACTTATATACATACAACACAGTCTATTGATAAGAATTTTTTTTATTTTTAAGTTTGATTTATTATGAAAGTAAAGTATATCATACTTTGAATATATATATATATTTTTAAAACTTCTTTGAAACTGAAACTAAATTTTCGTTCGACTTACTTTCATCATTCAGAAACACGTGTGTAAACTGTTATGTCAACAAAACATTATTTTTAAAGATTGTCTGATTGAGAACGACAGCATGACACTGGAAGCAATCAAGTACAATAATGGAAAATTACAGATATTGGACCAGCTTCTTCTTCCGAACGAAACCAAATATATCGACATTTTATCTGTAGATGATGGATGGAAGGCGATAAAGCTCATGCAAGTAAGTAAAATCAGTTTGACGTTTATAGAATATATATATAGTGACTAAGTCGATCCATGCAATTTCAGTGTTTATCTTGATCCTCCCTCACAAAAAAAAGTAAGAATAGGACAGCTAGGACCTGAAAATTGTTTAAACACGATAACTGTAACTACATTCTTTATAGCACTTGGTCAAAAAGAAGGTTCCAAGGCTGACAAAATCGCTTCAGATTGGAGTTGTAGGCCTTGATTTAGGACGCCAACAAATATGTTGAGAGGAGTTAAATATTTTTAAAAAGTCATGGGCTAGTCAATAGCTAAGATGAATGAATATTCAGAGACAGATCAAAAAATGTTTGTTTTTTTTTAAATGCGAAATTTGAAAATAAAAATCCTCAAAAAGAGGGAATATCTATTTAATAAGTTAAAATCTGAAACTGGAAATGCAACCGTATTTAAATTTAAATTGCAGATAGAATAGAAGTTGGCAAATATTGCAATCCAAAAATTATTTGGAAACAGAATAATATTAACCGTCAAACTGTTTTTGAAGATGAATTAATTTGTTCTTTATTATTTGCATGATGTAAAATTATTAATCTAGCAGATGTTAATCAGCAAGAAGTATTAGTTACATTATGAACTTTGTCAAATGAGTTTTTTCACTGAATAAAATTAAAGATATATGAACATAACTCATAATTTATACATTTGTATTTACAAAAAGTGGAAAAATATAGATTTTTTTTTTCAATCATTTAGTTTTATCGATTTAAATGCAGTTTTGAACTAATAACTAATAAACCTAATAGGTGTTCTTTAGGATTTGCTATTTTAAAAAAATGTGGACCTATATATTCAAGGTACGAGGTGCACCTGCGATCGCCATAGTAGGATGTCTAAGTTTAGCAGTAGAACTGAGGAAAATGTCCTTCTTGAACGTAGATGAAGCATGTAGATTTATTGAGGAAAAGTTGAAGTACTTAGTGACATCCCGACCCACAGCAGTCAACATGGATAAAGCCGCAAAATACTTCATAGAGAAAACAAAGTCATTAGCCAACAAAGGGGACAACTCTGTACAGAATATAATAGAAAAGTACATATCGATCCTGTATAAATATGCATTTTTTTATAGTGGTTAAAAGTAATTAAAATGTGATCTGATTAAATTTGGCCATTGATTGTCCTCAGAATTTCGTGTTACATTCCCTGTATTTTTTTTTCATATTTGTTGAATATCTTTAGCCTTATAATGTTTTTGCTCTTGTTTTAGAATAGTGTCTGAAATAGAGGAAATGCTTCCTACAGATATTGCTGTGAATAAAACCCTGAGTAAATTTGGAGCAGATCACGTACTGAATCTTTGTGACAAACCAGTTGATGTCCTTACTCACTGCAACACAGGGTCTCTAGCGACGGCCGGATATGGAACAGCTCTGGGTATTTCTCTCTATTTAAAACCAAAGGAAACTATCTTTTATTTTTTAGTGAAACTTAGTTTGAAAGAAAATCCTTTTTAGTTTTTATACACTTTTTGAATTTGTGAAAGAAAATAAACATAGTAATATCGTGGTGTCGTTAAAAAAACTTTGAAGAATTAAGTTTTTATTTTTCGTTCTGTAGATCATGGTCTTTGAACGTTTACTTTGTGAGGTACTACTTTTTAGCGTAAATGCATTAATGTGTGTTTTGTATGGTGTCCGGATAGGGCCATTTGCTAAAGCTCAACATTGCGTTCAGAAAAAAACACGCCGTCGCGCTATCACAACATTGAACAAAACGCTGTTACGCTAACACAAGTTTGCACAAAACGCTTTCGCGCTAACACGTACGAGTTCACACAACATGCTGTCGTGCTATCACACTACATGCCGTCGCGCTAACACGCTTTCAAGCAACACACCGTCGGAAGTTAGCTCGACGGCGTGTTGTGCGAAGTCGTGTTAGCGTGATAGCTAGCGTGCTGTGTGTTAACGCGTGTTGTGCGAACTCGTGTTAGCTTGACAGCATGTTGTTCAATGTTGCGATGGCGAGTTGTGTGTTAGCGTGACTGGTGTTGTGTGTCAGCGCGACGGCGTGTTTTTCTAATAGCGCTGTTGATTTTTAGCAAATGGCCCTTTCCGTACACCATTCATGCATAGTTTTGTCTTTCTAAGGAGTTCGAATTCCTTACACATACTTCAATTTTCCTTAGGTGTAATACGAACTTTACAAGAAAGAAATAAATTGAATCACGTGTATTGCACGGAGACTCGTCCCTATAACCAGGGGGCACGGCTGACGGCTTATGAATTTGTGTACGAGAAAATGTCTGCCACCTTAATCTGTGATAGCATGGCATCAATGTTGATGGAACGCAAAGGGGTGTCAGCGGTAGTTGTGGGAGCTGATCGGGTGGTAGCCAATGGGGATACTGCTAACAAGATAGGAACCTATCAGTTGGCTATTGTCGCAAAGCATCACAACGTTCCATTTTACGTTGCATGTCCTTCTACTTCGTTTGACCCAAAATTAAAGAATGGAGATGAAATTCGAATAGAAGAAAGACCACACGAAGAAATGACACACATCAAAGGAGTTTCTATCGCTGCACCAGGTACTTGCTTTGAAAAGCGTCTATGGTTTAAGGGAAAAACCACAGTGAATATAATTGAATAGATTTAGGAAGGAAGTTATTTATGATGTCAAAAGTAGTCCGAAACATATGTTATGGTTTTAACTTATTTCCAAAATATATTAAATTTTAATTGAGACTCTATTAATTACATGTTTGACTTATGCAAATTATTCATATTTCCATTTCTTTTTAAGGAATCAATTGCTGGAACCCCGCCTTTGATGTGACGCCGGCGTCTTTGATTACTGGTGGGATCATTACAGAGTTTGGTGTGTTCAAACCTTCTGAGCTATTGGAGCGTTTGGTACCACTGTTACAAAATCAGCAAATACAGAATGGAAATTCCACGTGACCAGGACGGATGTCACCTTGTCTGGTCTATCAAGATATTAGTATACGTTGTATACGTTCTCGAAATAAATAAATCGGAAAGTGTTCATGCACCGTAAATGCATTTAGTCGATTCTTTTTCTTTGCGGGTGATACCCAGAATATTATCAGAGCGGTTTCTTCTAACATCTTGAGGACTTTTAAATTAAGAATGGATTAGAGATCTGGAAGGTGATTTGAAAAGTAAATTGCAATTTTGAATGTTAATCACAAAGTCATAATGTAGAATTCAACTGGCATTTTGTATATATTTAGAAGAAATGTAAGGCTTTTTATAAATACACCAAAAAGGTTTCATTGACATTTCAAAGATACATGTACTGGTACTAAATCCAAGGATAAATGATTTGTATACCACATCTAAAGACAAAGAAACTTGTTTCAGCAATTCATCGGTTTATAGCTCTGTCTTGAAATGTACTGAACACTGCTTGATAAGATAGGATGTTTTTTATGGCGTGTCTCCTTCATTGAATCCGTCCTATAATGCTGCTGAGCGGTATTAAGAAGCAATAAATGATGACCAGAATGAATCAACGCCACTAAGACAGGCTTATTTCTGCTATAAACCATCCCTATACATGGGGTACACGAGATTTTATGGTCAAAAATCCAATTGTTAGACTATATTTATATGGAGAAATCAACAGAACAAAAATAATTCTGACTATCGATCGCTAGAAAACGAAAAACACGGTCAGCCTCCAAACACATTGCACCAGCTCCAAAATATGGATTCGTTTTCAAGATCCCGAGATAGATAGATGTAAATCAGGGCCGGTCCTGGAGAGGATGTTAGCTGAAATTTCTCTGATTCTTGAAATATTTTCAGCGTTTGTATATGGTAAGTTCTTTTTCTCTTAAATACCTATGTTCCTCAAAATCGGTTTTGTATATCTTCGTAATATATGAAAAATATTGAAAATAATGCCAGTTCAATAGTCTAAACCAGTTTCTAAACGTTTTTAAAAAGGAAAATTTAAAAATTTGAAGTGTGATACAAACTCGTAAAAATATTTCCCCCTTTTTTTTGAAAAGAAATTTTGCAAGTGTATATGTTCCCAGTAAGTTGCTGAATGTGATTTATAACATGTTTAAGTAGCAACACTTCAATGAACAAACTTAAGAAAAATTCATTATTAGTTAAATGGTATAAAGAGTATGTCACCTTTGGTCTTTTGTTCAAAGTGTTGATATCCGTTGAGTTTACTTGAGCCATGTAAGATATCTTGTTTGTTTGTTTGGTTTTTTTTTGTTTGGTTTTGTTTTTTTTTAACATGTTTTAGAGTGAGATGTCGCTTTATTGCAGTTTAAATCATTTGGCACTTGCTTGCTCCGCATGCTTCATGTACGTCTTTCTTTTGAAAAATAAAGATACAATGAACATTTTTTAGGTTTAGGCCCCCCCCCCCCCAAGACCACACACACAAACTTTCCACAGACACGTCACATTAGGATTTATACAGAAGTAATAGAATAAATCGTAAAACCTCTACTTTTCAACAATTATTTGTTGCTGCGGTGATGTTTTACAGATTAAAGACATCAGGAAGGATATTAAATTGGGAAATGAACATTTCCGATTATTTTTTTTTTTTTTTGCTTGTCAGGTTTTTGTTTTGAGTTATAAATTTTTTTTTTACACTTAGCCCCCCCCCCCTTTCAATTTGCTTCCGACGCCAATAATTTCCAGATATAATTTCCCAGTAACCGTTACTGTCAAGTATAGATCATCTTTTGATACTTGACCTAAAAAAAACAAGAGCCATGAAAGATATCTTTTTTTTACATGTTTCAGAGTGAGATGTCGCTTCATTGCAGTTCATATCATTTGGCAATATGCTTGCTCCGTATGCTTCATGTACCTCTAGGCTCTTTCTTTTGAAAAATAATCAAATGATACGTTTTGTTTTAAATGATAAGAAACTTAGAAACAAGAATAGTGAAACAGTAAAACTGTTCCCAAATGACCCGCCCACATTAGAATTTATACAGAATTACTAGGATAAATCGTAAAACCTCTATTTTTCAACAATTATTTAGTATTGCGGTTATGTTTAGCAGTATATAAAGACATCATCAGGAAGAGGTTTAAATTGCTTGGAAAAAAGGATAAAAAATGTAAATTAGTTTTTTTTTCGAAAGTTGTATACATGTATATAAAACTTGGTGGGTGGTATATTTCAAATACCACTTGAAGCACCTTTTGCTCACCCAATAATTTTAAGATATAATTTTCCCAGTTGCCATTACCCTCCAACTTTGAAAAACGTGTACTGTAACATTACATATTTTCGCGGGGTCAATTTTTCGAGATTGAGGAAAAAATATTGGTTTGTGGGGTTTTGATTTCGTGGTTTGAAAATGTTTTGTAGTAATGCATATGATATTTACATTTCGTGGTGGCCATAAATTCGTGGGTCTCTCCATACCTCGAAAAAAAAACGAAAATTAACCCCCCACGAAAATTAGTGATTTCACAGTATATAACTGAGAAAGATTGATTGATTGATTGATTGTATGTTGTTTAACTTCTTTCTCGAGAATTTTTCACTCATATGGATACGCCACCACTTGTACAATGGAATTAATATTTCAAAGCCATTTAGCAGTTGATTATTTATGCCAGATATAAATATAAGTCGGAAAAATGCTGATTTCTTTGTTTCCTCTCTCCATCAATGGAGCTTGATGGAAAGAGGAACGAAGCGTAGTCGGTCTTGGGTTTCCGACGATGGCACCTACTGCGACACGGGACCTCGGTTAAAGAGAAATAAAGTTCAAAACAAAACGCAAAAAAGGTTGAAAAGCCTCTACATCATGTACATGTGAATTAAAAATATGTTATAAATGTTCTGTATATTTCTGAGTCTTAATTTATATCCGTATATACAATGTAATAATTTTCAAGTCAATGTTCCTAAAAAATGCCACATTTAAACTTTTTTACCCTTTCCAGGGACCAGTACCAAAGTGTGCGGAACAAAATGATTTACAAAGTGTTATTGTATGAAAAATGCACAGGTACTCAATGTCCGGAAAACAATTATGGGACACACATAAACCCTTGACCGAAGAGGCTAAGTTTGACGCAGAGGAAACTTACTCTTGGCCTCATGCAAGTTGCATGAACCATCAAAATCATTGTTTTATTTAAAAAAAAATTGTAAATAGAAAAACAAGCCAGTTTTAGCCCCAAGGATAACGTCTTTATCATTAAATAGCCCAGTTAAAGGTTTGTCTAAGATTTTTAGTTGAATTATATTGAATTTATTACCAACTTCCAATATGGTCACCATTCTCTGTTGAATTCGTTTACTCTGATTGGCCAATAGCACAGGTCATTAGAGTTCAATATATGTTATCTCACTAGATGGCGTGGCAGTAAACCCCATTAATATTCAGTCAAGGGTTTATGTGGAGCGGAGCGGATCAGAAACTCTTGACTTGGGAAGATAAGGTACTTGTGGACAGGACACCCCTCCCAATATGTGACCCCTAGCTTGTTATTTTTTTCCACAATTTTTTCATTATTTCACTTCCTTTTCATGTATACAATTACGAAATAATGAATTTTTAAAAAAAAAAACTCCAAATAACCGTTCAGTACAAAAAATACCCCTCTATACCTAATAAGGGAGGCCTGCCAACAAGTATCTGTGTGATGCTGCAGGATGTATGACAGAGAAATTAAGAGAAAAAAACATTAGAACTCATTACCCTTTCTAAAGTAGAATGCATGAAAGGATCTTTTTTTCAGTAATCGACTCCTTCCATGCATGCATATTCAACTTATATTAGTGTAAAATTATGATACTTTCTTGTTTAACAAAGTATATTTTGTTTGAACTAACTTAATTTAGACTTGTTATGTGTAAAAATTGACATTAATCAAAGGACAAGAAGTTATAATATCCTTTTTCTCAGGGCTGACGACGGATGGGTGCGAGGATGGGTGGACGTTCTATAAACACTTGTGTTACCAAATAAATCAGGACCCCTATGGACTCAGTCAAAAGGAAGCCGGCGCTGTCTGTGTGTCCAAGAATGCGGCTCTATCCAGTATATGGGATAACAAAGAAAGCCAATTCATTGCTCAAGAGTTACTCAGAGTTAGTGAATCTTCTTCATTTAAAGAAAAAGAAAATAATCAAAATTCAATATTCTCTTAATACAGACTTTCTGCAGATTACAAAATATATTTAATAAAAAAAAAAGTTTTTAAAGTTGAGAAACTATATAAATGTGATCATATGTTGATTTAAAAAAAAATCGTGTACATTGCAGATAACTAATGCCAACCACGCATGGATTGGTCTGAAGCAAGAGAAGCGAGGGAATAGGTATGTCTGGACCTTGGTGGACGGATCTATCGCAGATGCTGCAAGCTGGAAATACGGTATATATTACTTTGGAGTATGACTGAATATTCATGTAGCTTTATATAATTTGAGTGTATTTGGTTTTTTTTTTCCAATACGAATATCTTCGTTCTAAATGTTGAGATACTAGTATCTCTCGTAAGTTCAAAATGATAGAACATAGAAAACCAGGGGTTCCGTGTGACGATCAATTATCGAAATGATTCAGAGTTTGTTTTTTTTAACAAATAAAAAATATAAATGTCCTGTTATTTCAGGAGACACAGAGGACACTGTTGGAATGTGTGGAATTATCCGCCGAGACGGAGTTCAGGATCTACAGAACTGTACGGAACCCATTCAGTTCTTTATCTGCAAGAAAAGTGAGTATAGGACATTCCTATCAACAGTTTATTTCACAATTGTTTAAAATATTTTATTTTACCCATCGTTCTTTTAGATCTTAAAATGTGGTATGTCGTCAGTGACATCTTTGAAAACAAATACCGCGACGAAGATTTCAGTGAGGAACCACAGAAGCTAATGTTTGAGAGGGTGTGGCCTCCCAAACTGGAATACGTCCATGATTATCTGTCACACCTAGCCCAGACGACAGTTTCCAAGGAAACGGACTGTGCTTACAAATGCTTCCGGGCTGATGCATGCAGGGCTTTTTCCATTCAGTGCAAAGTGAACTGGAAATGTGAAAAATATGATTGTGAAGTTTACCGTCCAATTACTTTATGAGAAAAAAAAATGCACTTTTCTTTTTACATAACCTTATTATTTCTTTTATTTATAATTTACATTATATAAAAAAGGCAAAATGTTACTTTACATGATAAAATGTTTAATGAACATGTCTATTGCATTTCTTATTTGTCCAAAATAATGAATAAGTGGGTTCCTGGTACGATGAGGTTGACTATTTCGGTACGTTTGCTATAAATGAAGAAAGGTTTTGCAACTGTCCAATGTGCAGGAAATAACGGTACATTTTTTAGGCCCGCCTTTTTCATGATCGGCTTATAAGTTAATGACTAGGAGTCAAAGAATGATCAACTTTGTCAGTTGATACATTTTGGGTAGAAGAATGTTGCTACAACATAAAAATCTACGACTTTTCAACTTTATGTGCATCAATGGACCATGATAAATTAAAGTCCGATCTTTTTGACATCATTGCATGACAGCTGCTTTTTCAATAAAAACAGAACCCGTAAATTTACTTACCTTGTCATTGGTCATTTGTAAAATAACTGTATTTGAATTAAAAAAAAAATCTGATTGTACACCAGTCTTCCAACAATCTATTGGAATTCCCATAGGTACCAATTGCGCCCTGTTATATTATCAAACCTATTTTTATGCGCCCGGATCAATAGATCCGGGACGTATATTGTTTTTAGCTCACCTGAGCTGAAAGCTCAAGTGAGCTTTTCTGATCACATTTTGTCCGGCGTCCGTCTGTCCGTCCGATTGTCTGTAAACTTTTCACATTTTCGACTTCTCAAGAACCGCTGGGCCAATTTCAACCAAACTTGCCACAAAGTATCCTTGGGTGAAGGGGATTCAAGTTTGTTCAAATGAAGGGCCACGCCCTCATTCAAGGGGAGATAATTGGGAATAAATGAAAATTTGGTGGTATATTTTAAAAATCTTCTTCTCAAGAACCACAGTGCCAGGAAAGATGAAACTTATGGGGAAAAATCCTCAGATAGAGTAGATTCAAGTTTTTTTCAAATCATGACCCCCCGGGGTAGGGCGGGGCCAAAATGGCCGACCAAAGTTTTACATAGAAATATATAGGAAAATTCTTTAAAAATCTTCTCAAGAATGACAAAGCCATAATTCATCATATTTATATGGAAGCATGCTCAGGTAGTGTAGATTCAAATTTGTTCAAATCATGACCCCCGGGGGTAGGGCGGGGCCAAAATGGCCGACCAAAGTTTTACATAGAAATATATAAGAAAATTCATTAAAAATCTTCTCAAGAATGACAAAGCCATAATTCATCATATTTATATGGAAGCATGCTCAGGAAGTGTAGATTCAAGTTTGTTCAAATCATGACCCCCGGGGGTAGGGCGTGGCCAAAATGGCCGACCAAAGTTTTACATAGAAATGTATAGGAAAATTCTTTAAAAATCTTCTCAAGAATGACAAAGCCATAATTCATCATATTTGTATGAAAGCATGTTCAGATAGTGTAGATTCAAGTTTGTTCAAATCATGACCCCCCGGGGTAGGGCGTGGCCAAAATGGCCGACCAAAGTTTTACATAGAAATATATAGGAAAATTCTTTTAAAATCTTCTTCTCAAGAATGCCAAAGCCATAATTCATCATATTTAAATGAAAGCATGCTCAGGTAGTGTAGATTCAAGTTTGTTCAAATCATGACCCCCGGGGGTAGGGCGGGGCCAAAATGGCCGACCAAAGTTTTACATAGAAATATATAGGAAAATTCTTTAAAAATCTTCTTCTCAAGAATGACAAAGCCATAATTCATCATATTTATATGGAAGCATGCTCAGGTAGTGTAGATTCAAATTTGTTCAAATTATGACCCCCGGAGGTAGGGCGTGGCCAAAATGGCTGAACAAAGTTTTACTTAGAAATATATAGGAAAATTCTTTAAAAATCTTCTTCTCAAGAATGACAAAGCCATAATTCATCATATTTATATGGAAGCATGCTCAGGTAGTGTAGATTCAAATTTGTTCAAATTATGACCCCCGGAGGTAGGGCGTGGCCAAAATGGCCGACCAAAGTTTTACTTAGAAATATATAGGAAAATTCTTTAAAAATCTTCTTCTCAAGAATGACAAAGCCATAATTCATCATATTTAAATGGAAGCATGCTCAGGTAGTGTAGATTCAAGTTTGTCCAAATCATGACCCCCGGGGGTAGGGCGGGGCCAAAATGGCCGACCAAAGTTTTACATAGAAATATATAGGAAAATTCTTTAAAAATCGTCTTCTCAAGAATGACAAAGCCATAATTCATCATATTTATATGGAAGCATGCTCAAGTAGTGTAGATTCAAATTTGTTCAAATCATGACCCCCGGGGGTAGGGCGGGGCCAAAATGGCCGACCAAAGTTTAAAGATATATATAGGAAAATTCTTTAAAAATCATTTTCTAAAAAATAGCAAATCCATGATTGGTCATGGGAATACTTTTGGATTTAAACTTTACAATAAAAGGCCATTTTCTACTTTTTCCTACCCTTAGTGCTCAGGTGAGCGATGTGGCCCATGGGCCTCTTGTTGTCCTGTCTGTCTGTTTGTTTGTTTGTTTGTTTGTTTGTCTGCAAACTTTAACCTTCGCAATAACTTTTGAACCATGAAAGATAGAGACTTCATACTTGAAATGCATACTCCACTAATGAAGCTCTTTCAAATGACACCAAAGTCAATGACCTTGTGACCTCGACTGTGACCTATATGCCAAAAATAGCTTTTTTTCTGCTAACTTTAACCTTCTCCATAACTTTTGAACCATGAAAGATATAAACTTCATATTTGGTGTGCATACTCCACTAATCAAGCTCTTTCAAATGACACCAAGGTCAACGACCTTGTGACCTTGACTGTCACCTATGTACTATAAATAGCGCATAGTGTTTCACAAACACATCTTGATCTTGTTTGTATTCATATGAAACTGAATTTGTTCAAAATCTTATACTTAAAAGAAGAAAACACTTGAGGTGGTCTTCAACTCGACATTTAGATATATCGACGATCTATCCATTCTTTTATCGACACGATATATCCCGTGTTCTTGAATTAACAAGCAAATTCAAAGAATTGTGGTCCCCCGCTTTCGGTGTCTTTGTGGATGAGATGTCATTTTTTATGACACATTGTGTCTAATATGAACACCCTATCATATGTCATTTATTTAGAAATTATCACTGAAGTTGATTTTTTTAAAAAATAAGGTCAATTGTGAAGGTCAAGGTCAAGGGGTAAGAATTCATAGCATGCTCGGAAATATCTTGTCACAGGTAATGCACATGTCAAATATGAAAGCCCTATTTCTTCTCAATATAAGGAACAAGATGTGTTTGTGAAACACAGATGACCTCGTATGGCAACATAACAAAGATTTAACATTTCTTAATTCAAATGAAATATATTTGATATTACCCAAAGTAGGGTTTTCAGACAAGAAATACGATTGTGAAATACAAAATCCCATCCCCCTGTTCAAAAGAAAGTTATGGCCAAGGATACATTTTTGAAAGGTAGGTCAAACTCCAAGGTGAAAGGATCTGAGTTGTTGATTTCTTTAAAAAGGTCACAAGTAATACATATGTGAAGGATGAAAACCCTAACCTTAACCGTTTAATAGTTATGGCCAAGGTGAAAGTTTTGGAAAAGTAAGTCAATCTCCAAGGTCAACGTCAAAGGGTCAAAGTTCTTGGTATCCAATGAAAGGTCTTCTCATAAGGATTACATATGTGAAGTATGAAAGCCTTAGCCCTTACCGTTCAAATGTTATGGTCAAGGTTAAACTTTTTTTTTCAAAAGTACGGAAATCTCCAAGGTCAAAGTCAAAATGTCAGAATGGTTGTTATCCAATGAAAGGCCTTGACACAAAAAATACATATGTGAAATATGTAAGTCCTAGTTTCTACCATTCAAAAGATATGGTCAAGGTTAAAGTTTTTTTATAAGTACGGAAATTTCCAAGGTCAAAAGGTCAAAGTTGTGGGTATCCAATGAAAAGTCTTGCGACAAAAAATACATATGTGCAAAAATATGAAGTCCTACATGTAGTATCTACCATTCAAAAGTTGTGGCCATGGTCAAAGTTTTTGAAAATTAGGTCAATCTCCATGGTCAAGGTCAAAGGGTCAAAGTTCTTGGTATCCAATGAAAGGTCTTTTCACAAGGATTACATATGTGAAGTACGATAGCCCTAGCCCTTTCCGTTCAAAAGTTATGGTCAAGGTAAAAGTTTTTTCATAGGTCTCTAAGGTCAAGGTTAAAAGGTCAAAATTGTTGGTATCCAATGAAAGGCCTTGACACAAAAAATGCATATGTGAAATATGAAATTCCTAGTTTCTACTATTCAAAAGATATGGCCAAAGTAAAAGTTTGGATTTTTTTGTAAAAGTGGGTCAAACTCCAAGGTCTAGGTCAAAAGGTCAAATATGGTGGTACCCAAAGAAAGGTCTTCTCACAAGGGACACACAAGTGAAATATGAAAGTCATAGCTCCACTAAATCAAAAATAATGGGCAAGGTTAAAGTTTTTGTGACGGACGGACAGACGAATGAGATGTAATGTCCCCTCGCTTTCGCTAAAGCGGGGGACAATAAAGAAGGCAATAAATTGTTATTTTATTCATTATGGTTTTATTTTGATCGGGATTGGTCCAAAATGATTTTTTTTTTTTTTTTTTTGCCATTTCATTTCAATTTCTTGCCAAAAAGACTGAGACTAGTCAAAATTCACATATACTTTGATCATTAGTAAACTTTAAGTGAATCATCGTGCATACGTACAGATATTTCTCCATCAGATAATAAAGGCTTGTCATAATTTTTAATTCTTATACCACCAACCTTTCACTTGCTATTTGACTTCGAATTAAAGTCATGACACTCCTTAGGTTCATAAACAGTACCTGTATCAGGTTCCAATGAGCAATCTTTGTATCAAGTACGAGCTCCTAGTATTTCTACATTGTTAAGTTAAAGTCTTAAAAAAATAATTTTACACTATTCTGCCTGTAACTTTGAACTTGCTGCATTGACACTGGATTAAAATAAGAACTTTCCTTATTTCAAAAACAATACCTGTACCAATTCTTTTCCAAATAAAGTTTTAGCCGAGACATTTTTTTTTCTTTTTTCTACCAGTGACCTTGAAATCGCCAAAATGACCTTGGATAAAGGTCAAGGCATATTCTTTGATCATAAGCAATATCTGTACCGAGTATGAGCTTCCACTGACTCTCCATTACAAAGTCAAGTTATGTCATACCTTTTTTCTACTAGTAACCTTGAACTAAATGGAATGACTGGATAAGATCATGACACGTTTTTGGGTCATAAGCAATCCTTGTACCAGGTTTGAGGTTCCAGTGATTCTTTCTACAAAGTTATGACCCAGACAAAAATTTCATACTTTCAGGCCAGTAACCTTGAACTTGCAGGAATGACCTTGTGTCAGATCAGGACTCACTGTCGGGTCATTACAAGCAAGCTCTATAACAAGTATAAGCTTCAAATGTTTCCATATATCAAAGTTAGAGCCTAGACAAAATTACATTCACAGACAATGTGATTCCTATATATCCCTAAAACTTCGTTTGTTTGGGGTGAAAAAGAGAAGTTTCATTACAAGGAATATACATTTGAAATATGAAAGCCCTAGCACTAATCATTCACATCATTTTGTTTTACCAAAGTAGGTCAAAGTCTAACTTAAAGGTTAAAAAAAGTTCAAAAGGAATGGCCATGGGTAGTAAAAATTAGTAAATTTGGAGACACATAAACAGACAGACAGTTTATCAAAATATGCCCCCAAATCTTCAATTATAGAGGTGGAATAAAAACTCAACAAGTTTAATTCCATGACAAACAGACTGTATAATAGTGTATTTTAATATACATGATAAATTCAAACTGACATAAATTAATCATGTATCACAAGAGACAAACACAGTTTTTACAATTACATGTAAAATGAAAAAATATGAAACATCTAGAAAATCTTCATATACTACTTGTGTATGAAGTAGAACATGCTTATAGAACTTGACAAGGAAAAAATATTTCATAAAAAACTTAAATTACTTAGAACCTCAGTAACAACTGAAAGAAGGAAAAGGTGTTGCATACAAAGATTAAACTAGAACTGTCCAAACGGGACAAAATAGCCCCCGCTGGATTTTTCAGAAGTAAGTTTTTCCATAAGAAAGATATGGACCGGACACGAATTATGAAATTTTTCTTCCAGTGACCTTGAACTTCCTCAAATGACCTTGGGTCAAGGTCTTGACACACCCTTGGGCTATGGGCAATCTTTGTGTGAAATGAGAACCTACCAAGTTTATCCATAAGAAAGATATGGACCGGACACGAATTATGAAATTTTTCTTCCAGCGACCTTGAACTTCCTCAAATGACCTTGGGTCAAGGTCATGACACACCCTTGGGCTATGGGCAATCTTTGTGTGAAATGAGAACCTACCAAATTTATCCATAAGAAAGATATGGACCGGACACGAATTATGAAATTTTTCTTCCAGTGACCTTGAACTTCCTCAAATGACCTTGGGTCAAGGTCATGACACACCCTTGGGTTATGGGCAATCTTTGTGTGAAATGAGAACCTACCAATTTATCCATAACAAAGATATGGACCGGACACAAATTATGAAATTTTTCCAGTGACTTTGAACTTCCTCAAATGACCTTGGGTCAAGGTTATGACACACCCATAGGTCATGGGCAATCTTTGTGTGGAGTTGTAGATTCTAATGTCCCTCTGTAAGAAAGATATGGACCGGACACGTTTGCACAGACAGACGGACAGCTCCACGGACGGACAGACAGACGGACGGACAGACAGACAAGGTGATTCCTATATACCCCCCCAAACTTCGTTTGCGGGGGGTATAATTAGATAAGCAAGAAGCCCATGGGCCACATCACTCACCTGAGTAACTTTGGCCATTATGTTATTAAACAGATTTCCCCCTAATACCTATCTTGACCTTTCCCAATCCCCAGGGGTCATGATCCAAGCAATTTAAAATCTACACTACCCCAGGATGCTTCCACAGAAGTATAGCTTTTCTGGCCCAGTGGTTCTTGAGAAGATTTTTTTATGACCCCACCCTATTTTTGTATATTCTTGACAATTTCCCCTCGGAAGGGGTATTTATTTTTATAATTTAAACTCCCACTACCCAAGGATGTTTTGTACTAAGTTTGGTCAAAATTGGCCCAATGGTTCTCAAGAATAAGCTGAAAATGTGAAAAGTTTACAGATGAATGGACAGTCAGACGGATGGACGACGGACAACAGGTGATCAGAAAATCTCATATGAGCTAAAAACTGCAAGGCCTGCTATGTAAATCAAAGGAGAGAAAATATAAAAGAATTTAGATTTTGCATATTGTTATATTTATTTATAATCTAAAACACTAAAAAATAATAATGTTACAATGAGATCACTTTATCTTTTCTAGCAATTTTCAAACTAAAATTAGATATCATTGAGATGGTGGCCATCTCAAAGGGTCCCACTTTCAGCAATGAACATAAAAATGTAAAGTAGCTGAAAGGGGTTTTAACCTTGACTCTTGGCCTAGAAACTTTGTTCAAGGTCACTACACATCCATTGACCAGTGGCACTCTGTGAGAGAAGTATTAGCCACATTGGACCAAGGGGAGAAAGCATATGCTCTGGACAAGGATTCACAATAAAAAAAATTACCTCCCTTTCTCTTAAGCTTAGATATTCAGACAAGCACTGATTTACCTCTCTTGATATTTTTGCTTAAAAATCCAATCTTTAACTTTTTTAAATTAAAAAATATAATATACAGATACAAAAAAAAACATTCAGAAAAAATAACGTAGTATATGAAAAGTTGTACAATAATGTAGTAACACAACTTTGAGTGATCTGCTGTGGATGTCATATGAGTTATCCTTAATGAGTTATGTACTCAGCATGGTACACTGAATCCTGAGAATTAAGCTGTTTACTGTGTCCATCACTTTGTAGATATTAGTACATACTCAACTCTGTCCATTGGATTCTGTGAGTTAAGCTATTTAGTGTGTCCATCACTTTGTAGATAACAATGTACTCAGCACGGTCCATTGAATTTTGTCAGTTAAGCTATTTAGTGTGTCCATCACTTTGTAGATATATAACAATGTTCTCAGCACGGTCCATTGAATTCTGTCAGTTAAGCTATTTAGTGTGCCCATCACTTTGTAGATATATAATAATGTACTCAGCACTATCCATTGAATTCTTTGAGTTGAGTTATTTAGTGTGTCCATCACTTGCAGTCCAAACCTTAAATTACTCTCTGCACTATTGTTGAAGCATATTTGTCTGCTATCAAAGAAACATGAAATTGATGGCAGTCTGCCTGTAAAAAAAGAAATCACAAGGACTCAACATAAATATTAATAAAATCTTAATAAATGAAAAATAGCTAACATATTTTTACAGAATAGAAGGATTTTGCAGAGCTTGTACATGTGTCTTACCTTTATTTTCAGGTCCCATAGTTGATCTCTTTGGAGTCTTGAGGAATCATGTTGATCTGCTTTTGGAAACAGGATCAATGCCAGCATAACCGTCTGCCTATTAACAAAAAGACACTAAGAATCCAAGCAATGAGAGAGTCAAAATCTCCTCTAATTCACATAATGCAAGGTCTAGAGCTTTACATGCATCTGATCTGACTAACCATCAATGTTTAGGTTAGACAGTAGTAAGTCCTTACTTTCCACATTCTTGTTAACTGATTGAGATCAGTCTCATCTTCTACTTGTTAACAAAGGAAATCCAAAGATAATGAAAAAAACATGAACAAAAATACCTTGTGCCAAAATGTTCACCTGAGTCACCTTGACTTTGTCATCAAAAGAAAAATTCTTAATTCATATTTTTTTTTACTAATCCTAGTCCAAAGGGATCATGATGTAACGTAATTTGAAACAACACATCCTCGGGATGCCCTATTGTTATTGCAACACAGTCTTGCTGTTGTGCAGCAGAAGTAAATCCCCCTGGACCTATGATTTGATAAGTGTATAAAGAAAATTTGTAAATTGCAAAAAATAAATCTTTTTACCCACTCCTTAATCAGATATTGGCTGCTGTACAAAGCTTGGCAATAGACTCTTCTTTTTCTTCACTTGGTCAGCACTGGTCCTCTTCCCTTGTCAAATTCCTTGAAAATACTTGATGGAGAGAAGATAAGCAATAATACAAAGCAATGTAATAATCACAGAAATTCAAATGAACATAATCATTACAACATTATTAGCTTGAAAATCAAAAAGCAAATAAAGACAATAAGGTTATGATAGCTAGGAATAAGGTGGAATATTGGGGCAAGGAGAGGAAAGCATAGTTACTTTAGAGTAGGGAGGACAAAGATATGTCAGAAATAATTGAATAAAAAATACTTGTAAGACTCCTGCCTGTTAAAGTGGGTCATGATGAAGTTCCATAGGTAAAAAAGAAGTAAAGTCTGATTCTTACGAGTATTCTCCTCATGGCTGCAGCGGAATGGGAAAGGGACTCTTCCTCACTTAGAATTCCTAGTCAGTCTTAACTTTCTTCTGCTTAAAAAGATAAAACAGAGACATAAAAGGGGAAACACTTGCACTTCATACCAAGTGAGAAGCTTCAGTAAAAAGCAGCTTGTTGCTTACCACTTTTGAAACATAATACCTGCAAAACACAGACAGGAATAGACTCTTCTTATATTAATGACCTTGGTCCTCCATTGTTGTTCCTCTTCTGAATCAAAGGGGAACTGAAATCTGTCAATTGAAGGTCCAGATGTTAAAGCTTGGTACAGCCAACATCAATAGGCAAGCAAAGATACAAGAAGTAAAATTTGAATCTTACCCTGCTTTCTGCTGCTGTATGCAGTTCAATGAGAGAGGGAGTCCTCCTCACTTCAGGATCCTGTTCAGCCTTAAAAGTATTCCTCTTAAAAAGATAAAAATTAACAGACACCAAAAGGGGATCACTTGCACTTCATACCAAGTGAGAAGATTTATAAAATAAACTAGCGGCCAATGGGCAATATGCTCACCTAAGCATATTGGCTAGTAAATGACAAATTAGTCCAGTATTGAAAAGTATAAAATTTAGGAAGAGGAGAAGGGGGCTTGAATAACTACCTGGAGACATTTTCATATCAATAACAATGGCTTAGCTGTTCTTGAACATAAAATTTTTTCCTATATATTCCTTTGTTAAAATTTTATCCCCATTGATGCCCCTCCCTGCCCCCTGGAATCAAGATTTGGACAAATTTGAATCTACACTACCTAAGGATGCTTCCATATCAATATGACTATATATGGCTTTGGTATTATTGAGAAGACGTTTCCTATATACTGTAAATCACTTAATTTTCGCGACACCTTATTTTCGCGAGATAGTCAATGACTCTTCATTAGCGAGACAAAATTTTCAAAATTGTGGTCATTGCTCTATATAATCTTAAGGAATTATATTATATGCGAGAATGAAATTTTCGCGACCATACCGTCTCGCGTAATAATGTGAAAATAAAGTTCTCGTGAATAAAAAGTGATTTACAGTATTCCCCTGTCCATTTTGATCCACCATTGGGGCCCTGCCCTACACCTGGGAGTCATGATTTGAACAAACTTAAATCTACACTACATGAAGATGCTACCGTATACATATCACCAGTCATGACATATTTGTTTCTGAGAAGATTTCTAAAAATATTTCCAATATAATCCAATGTAAAACTTTGATTGTCCAATGTGGCCCAAACCTTTTCCCGGTAGACATGATTTGAACAAAATGAAATCTTCACTACCAAAAAGGATGATTTGCTATCAATATAACTAATTGTGGCTTGAGAAAAAAAAAGTATATCCCTACATACTGTAGATTCCTAAATATGTGTGTGGAATTAATTTTCGCGTAATTTCGTGAGAAGCACCACACACAAAATTAAATTACTCGCCTTTATTTTTATGGCGCTGAAATCTATGTAAAATCTCTTAACCAACCATGCATTTGCGAATTATTATTCTTGTGATTTGACGGTGAAAAGCCTATTCGCAATAATTACTCGCGAAAAATAAGGAATCTACAGTATTATATATATTTTTGATCCCCTATTCTGACACCAACATGGGGTCTTGATTTGACTAATTTTGAATCTACACTACCTGAGGATGATGCCACATAAGTGTCTCTTTCCTGTCTCAGTGGTTCTTGAAAAGAAGATTTTTAAAAGATGTCCTTAATTTTTCTCTTATTTGTAGTAATCTTCCATTTGAAGAGGGAGTGGGCCTTCATTTGAATAAACTTAAATCCCATAATGGCATTTATCCAAGGATACTCTTTGCCAAGTTTCGTTGAATTTGACCAAAGATGAAAATGTGAAATTTTACAAACAAGAGGCCCATGGGCCACATCGCTCACCTGAGAAGCTTTGACCATTCTGTTCTTTACCAGATTTCCCCCTTGTAACACATATTGTGACCCCACCCTACCACTGATCACAATTTGAAATCAAAATTTAGTTTCAGCTTTTCTGGCCCAGTGGTTCAATTTGATTTTTCCTATATATTTCTATGTATTCCCCACTACCCCGGTGGTCATGATTTGAACAATTTAGAATTCCTACCCCAGGATGCTTCCACACAAGTTTCAGCTTTTCTGGCCCAGTGGTTCTTGAGCAGAAGATTTTCAAAGATTTTTCCTATATATTTCTATGTAAAAATTTGATTCCCCATTGTGGCCCCGCCCAACCGCCGGGGGTCATGATTTGAACAATTTAGAATCTACACTACCCCAGGATGCTTCCACAGAAGTTTCAGCTTTTCTGGCCCAGTGGTTCTTGAGAAGATTTTTTAATGACCCCACCCTAGTTTTGTCTTTTCTTGATTATCTCCCCTTGTGAGGGGACTTGGCCCTTCATTTTAACAATTTAAATTCCCCTTCACTCAAGAATGCTTGGTACCAAGTTTGGTCAAAATTGGCCCAGTGGTTCTTGAGAAGAAGTCGAAAATGTGAAAAGTTTACAGATGGACGGACGGACAGACGACGGACAAAATGTGATCAGAAAAGCTCACTTTAGCCTTTGGCTCAGGTGAGCTAAAAAGATGACAAAGACATAAAATGAACAAAGGTTCACTTCTTTTAAAAACCAGCACTTATATCAATTGATTCTACTACTAAATTGGGTTTGTGATCAGGAGAGATCCTATATGAGATGTTTACCAATGCTTTTGAGACTCATCTTCCCGTGCGTCCTTGCGAACTTAGCCTGGGACAAAATGATACCCAGTATCCGTCTGCTTCCACGTGGAGGCATCGCATAGGACTTGTTGTGGAGAGGCTATGTACTGGCAGGGGAAGTCATTAGAATTTCTTCCCCCTTTTCGCATTGCTGCTAGCCAGCGGTGATGGCTGAAAGCGAGAGGTGACAAGCACACAGACACTAACACCAACACACTAGACGCGTCACACAACATTTAGCAGACGTTAGTAGTTTTAGTAGCTTGTTACTTGTTCAGGGTTCTCCATTGTTTGAAATTTTACTGTGTTGCAGAGTTTACGCAAAGCACTAAAATTTCACGGTATTTTAGCGATCAAATTTGCAACTGACTCACTATTCATTATAATTACTTAAGAATACATGCACACAATTTAAAAAAAAAAAAAAAATCACCAATTCGTTACAAAAATAGTATGGTCGAACATATTAGCACATGTTGTGAAATGCAGAGGAAATTCTTGTCTATAAAGTTGAACTACTTACAATTTTTTAAAGCAAATTTGTCATAATTTTTTTGTCAATTTTATTGATCGAATTAAGGAATTACAAAAAAAGAATAGTAAAATACTTTTAAAAGTTCCTTGAAAATTGAAAACTATTTATTTACATCAAGTAAATGATTTTGGTACAGTGTTATGTTTGATTTACATTGCAAACATAATTCTAGAGCCATGGCTCTAAAGAAAAGACATTTAAATATATTTTTAAAAATAATACAATGTACTTTAATTGCAACTACTAGTACCAATTAAGCGTTACATGGAAGTTTGAAATCCAATTTTTTGTCTTTGTTCCTTCATGCGTCAAGTCCATTGAGGGTCTAGGAAATAATTGATTATGCAAGGTGAAAGCATAATTAAGTGATCTAGATATCGTATAGAATTGAAAGACGGTAGAATTGTTTGATCAATTATGTTTCAGATAGAGAGAGATTTTTGTATTTTTCAACCCCTCCATTTTCAGATCCTAGCTGGAACACTGTGTATGTTTTTTTTTTTATTATCACAGATCTTACTGTGTCAGCAAAATTTTTAATGTGTCGCACAGATAAAATTTGAATCTTTACTGTGTCGGAGAACATTTTTCTGTGTCGGGACCAACACAGTAAAACAGCTCATGGAGAACCCTGCTTGTTAGGGTGTTAATCATGCAAACCTATCCACCACAAGCACTAATCATGCACTAACTAACAAATACCTTAATTACAATAATAACCTACACTCCTCTAAGCTGTCTAACTATCAACTAAAGCCTACTTACTAACTCAAACTACAACACAACTGCACCTACCGGAAATACTATACAAACTAAACCTAAGACTAAGAAACACCTTTGTAACGCTACTTACAACTACTATACACCCCATACTTTCTGAATGCAGCAGAAAACACTCCAGACTGACCTTCAGAGGTGGCTATCTCTGCTTCCTGTCAATTCAAACTCAAGAGGTCAAAGCCTGAAAAAGCCAACATCAATTGGAAAGCCATAATATTGGGAAAAGGTGCTCAGAGGTCAAGTATGAATCTTACCGCACTTTCTGCTCATGAACGCTGTTAAATGGGAGAGGGACTGCTCTTCACTTCAGGATCCTGGTCAGCCTCAAATTTCTTCTGCTTAAAAAGAGAAAACAAACACATCAAAGGAGAATCACTCACATTCCCTAACAAATGACAAACTTCATTTAAATAATCAATTTGTTACTTACAACCTTGAGCCATATTGGTTGCTGCATAGAGATGGGAAATGGACTCGTCATCCTGTCTTTTGCTGTTGGTCGACCTTGCTCCTCCATCGTTGTTCCTCTTCCCAGTCCCTGAAAGTATAAAACTGGCACAATGTTAGTAAAACTTCAAAAGAATGCAACAAATCACGAAAAGTTACTTACCACTTTGGGCCATGTTGGCTGCTGTATAGAGATGGGAAATGGACTCGTCATCTCGTCTTCCTCTGTTGGTCGACCCTGCTCCTCCATCGTTGTTCCTCTTCCCAGTCCCTGAAAGTATAAAACTGGCACAATGTTAGTTCAAAAGAATGCAACAAATCACGAAAAGTTACTTACCACTTTGGGCCATGTTGGCTGCTGTATAGAGATGGGAAATGGACTCGTCATCTCGTCTTCCTCTGTTGGTCGACCCTGCTCCTCCATCGTTGTTCCTCTTCCCAGTCCCTGAAAGTATAAAACTGGCACAATGTTAGTAAAACTTCAAAAGAATGCAACAAATCACGAAAAGTTACTTACCACTTTGGGCCATGTTGGCTGCTGTATAGAGATGGGAAATGGACTCGTCATCTCGTCTTCCTCTGTTGGTCGACCCTGCTCCTCCATCGTTGTTCCTCTTCCCAGTCCCTGAAAGTATAAAACTGGCACAATGTTAGTAAAACTTCAAAAGAATGCAACAAATCACGAAAAGTTACTTACCACTTTGGGCCATGTTGGCTGCTGTATAGAGATGGGAAATGGACTCGTCATCTCGTCTTCCTCTGTTGGTCGACCCTGCTCCTCCATCGTTGTTCCTCTACCCAGTCCCTGAAAGTATAAAACTGGCACAATGTTAGTAAAACTTCAAAAGAATGCAACAAATCACGAAAAGTTACTTACCACTTTGGGCCATGTTGGCTGCTGTATAGAGATGGGAAATGGACTCGTCATCTCGTCTTCCTCTGTTGGTCGACCCTGCTCCTCCATCGTTGTTCCTCTTCCCAGTCCCTGAAAGTATAAAACTGGCACAATGTTAGTAAAACTTCAAAAGAATGCAACAAATCACGAAAAGTTACTTACCACTTTGGGCCATGTTGGCTGCTGTATAGAGATGGGAAATGGACTCGTCATCTCGTCTTCCTCTGTTGGTCGACCCTGCTCCTCCATCGTTGTTCCTCTTCCCAGTCCCTGAAAGTATAAAACTGGCACAATGTTAGTAAAACTTCAAAAGAATGCAACAAATCACGAAAAGTTACTTACCACTTTGGGCCATGTTGGCTGCTGTATAGAGATGGGAAATGGACTCGTCATCTCGTCTTCCTCTGTTGGTCGACCCTGCTCCTCCATCGTTGTTCCTCTTCCCAGTCCCTGAAAGTATAAAACTGGCACAATGTTAGTAAAACTTCAAAAGAATGCAACAAATCACGAAAAGTTACTTACCACTTTGGGCCATGTTGGCTGCTGTATAGAGATGGGAAATGGACTCGTCATCTCGTCTTCCTCTGTTGGTCGACCCTGCTCCTCCATCGTTGTTCCTCTTCCCAGTCCCTGAAAGTATAAAACTGGCACAATGTTAGTAAAACTTCAAAAGAATGCAACAAATCACGAAAAGTTACTTACCACTTTGGGCCATGTTGGCTGCTGTATAGAGATGGGAAATGGACTCGTCATCTCGTCTTCCTCTGTTGGTCGACCCTGCTCCTCCATCGTTGTTCCTCTTCCCAGTCCCTGAAAGTATAAAACTGGCACAATGTTAGTAAAACTTCAAAAGAATGCAACAAATCACGAAAAGTTACTTACCACTTTGGGCCATGTTGGCTGTATAGAGATGGGAAATGGACTCGTCATCTCGTCTTCCTCTGTTGGTCGACCCTGCTCCTCCATCGTTGTTCCTCTTCCCAGTCCCTGAAAGTATAAAACTGGCACAATGTTAGTAAAACTTCAAAAGAATGCAACAAATCACGAAAAGTTACTTACCACTTTGGGCCATGTTGGCTGCTGTATAGAGATGGGAAATGGACTCGTCATCTCGTCTTCCTCTGTTGGTCGACCCTGCTCCTCCATCGTTGTTCCTCTTCCCAGTCCCTGAAAGTATAAAACTGGCACAATGTTAGTAAAACTTCAAAAGAATGCAACAAATCACGAAAAGTTACTTACCACTTTGGGCCATGTTGGCTGCTGTATAGAGATGGGAAATGGACTCGTCATCTCGTCTTCCTCTGTTGGTCGACCCTGCTCCTCCATCGTTGTTCCTCTTCCCAGTCCCTGAAAGTATAAAACTGGCACAATGTTAGTAAAACTTCAAAAGAATGCAACAAATCACGAAAAGTTACTTACCACTTTGGGCCATGTTGGCTGCTGTATAGAGATGGGAAATGGACTCGTCATCTCGTCTTCCTCTGTTGGTCGACCCTGCTCCTCCATCGTTGTTCTTCTCCCAGTTCTCTGAAAGTATAAAACTGGCACAATGTTAGTAAAACTTCAAAAGAATGCAACAAATCACGAAAAGTTACTTACCACTTTGGGCCATGTTGGCTGCTGTATAGAGATGGGAAATGGACTCGTCATCTCGTCTTCCTCTGTTGGTCGACCCTGCTCCTCCATCGTTGTTCCTCTTCCGAGTCCCTGAAAGTATAAAACTGGCACAATGTTAGTAAAACTTCAAAAGAATGCAACAAATCACGAAAAGTTACTTACCACTTTGGGCCATGTTGGCTGCTGTATAGAGATGGGAAATGGACTCGTCATCTCGTCTTCCTCTGTTGGTCGACCCTGCTCCTCCATCGTTGTTCCTCTTCCCAGTCCCTGAAAGTATAAAACTGGCACAATGTTAGTAAAACTTCAAAAGAATGCAACAAATCACGAAAAGTTACTTACCACTTTGGGCCATGTTGGCTGCTGTATAGAGATGGGAAATGGACTCGTCATCTCGTCTTCCTCTGTTGGTCGACCCTGCTCCTCCATCGTTGTTCCTCTTCCCAGTCCCTGAAAGTATAAAACTGGCACAATGTTAGTAAAACTTCAAAAGAATGCAACAAATCACGAAAAGTTACTTACCACTTTGGGCCATGTTGGCTGCTGTATAGAGATGGGAAATGGACTCGTCATCTCGTCTTCCTCTGTTGGTCGACCCTGCTCCTCCATCGTTGTTCCTCTTCCCAGTCCCTGAAAGTATAAAACTGGCACAATGTTAGTAAAACTTCAAAAGAATGCAACAAATCACGAAAAGTTACTTACCACTTTGGGCCATGTTGGCTGCTGTATAGAGATGGGAAATGGACTCGTCATCTCGTCTTCCTCTGTTGGTCGACCCTGCTCCTCCATCGTTGTTCCTCTTCCCAGTCCCTGAAAGTATAAAACTGGCACAATGTTAGTAAAACTTCAAAAGAATGCAACAAATCACGAAAAGTTACTTACCACTTTGGGCCATGTTGGCTGCTGTATAGAGATGGGAAATGGACTCGTCATCTCGTCTTCCTCTGTTGGTCGACCCTGCTCCTCCATCGTTGTTCCTCTTCCCAGTCCCTGAAAGTATAAAACTGGCACAATGTTAGTAAAACTTCAAAAGAATGCAACAAATCACGAAAAGTTACTTACCACTTTGGGCCATGTTGGCTGCTGTATAGAGATGGGAAATGGACTCGTCATCTCGTCTTCCTCTGTTGGTCGACCCTGCTCCTCCATCGTTGTTCCTCTTCCCAGTCCCTGAAAGTATAAAACTGGCACAATGTTAGTAAAACTTCAAAAGAATGCAACAAATCACGAAAAGTTACTTACCACTTTGGGCCATGTTGGCTGCTGTATAGAGATGGGAAATGGACTC